GGACAAAGCATATAAACGAAGACCGAGCTAAACGGCTCTAAATCATCAACCTAGAAAAATCACACGATACAAAGGAACGACCTCTAAAGTGAGGTAAGTGTGTTTTTATTCAAAACTAGCTCAGATTTCTTGATTGAGGATGTGACAGTTCATTTCCATACAAATCCCAATATTTCGCCCATTGAGCAAATTAAATATATTTGCGTATTTACGGCGGTTCCTCGCTCAGAAAACGCAAGTTCTTTCACGAACATCGGACTCAAATCTGAGATCATGCAGAATAGAAGTTTCCATCTACTTAAATTGAAAACAAGCTCGGGTTTTAAGGAATAAGAGGATAACAAAGATATCATTTGCTGCAAGGGTTGACTTGAAAGATACACAACAGATGTACTTCAGGGACCTCATCGATACAAAAATACTATTTTGGAACACAAACTTGAGCAGCTCCAACTCAGTAGTGTAGAAACTTTCTTAATAAATGTTCCCCCAGAAACACGTAGTTGCTGTTAATAATAATGATGATAATAATAATAATGATAATAATAATAATGATAATAATAATAATAATAATAATAATTATTGTTATTATAATGATAATACTGAATTTAGCGGTGTCCAGGAGTTGGCTCTTCTTGTCCACTGTTTGCTAGTTGAATTGCTATTTGGAATATTGGTTTTTGTGGAGGAAGGAAAACCGGAGGACTTGGAGAAAAATCTTCAGAACAAGAACGAACTCAACCCTCATGTGACGCCAGGTTCGCCTGCTTTGCAACATTTTGATGGAAGGTGAAAAAGACTAAAGACGTACTAAGAAAAAAATGGATAATTGGCTTGAGGCTTAACACTTACTGAGAAAAAATGTACAATATCATAAGGGTAAAAGCTAAGGTTTTCGTTTGTCTCACGATGTAGTCACATGTGACGGTAGATCGCGACGTTTCGACTGTATACTGATTACTGATTGTTATCACAGCAGAGCATGATCAGTCGACTTAATCGCCTCGCGATCTACATCACATGTGACTACATCGTGAGACAAACGAAAAACTTAGCTTTTACTGTTATTCACCACGATGAATAACCAAAACGCCTTTTACGAAATATCATAAGAGCTGAAAAGATTTCAAAACCAGTCTTTATATCCATAAGCGCGACATAAAACATTGCATCTCCACAGCCGAAGTCAAGGCTGTTCAAAGACACTTACAAGCAAAACTTTTTTGATTATTTTTTCCAATCTTGGATGATTTGGCTCTATCAATTAACTGAGTTGATAATGCAAATTAGCCATCCAAGAGATTTTATAGCTGACTTTTCAAGCATTAGTCCTTCGTCTGAGCAAACAGAGGGACTGTGGCTTGTGCGTGTTTATGTGCAGAAAATATTAATGGAGCTGCGCGATTGGTGGTAACATGATAACGACGAAAACAAGAATAAATTAGTTGAATGAAAAGTGTTACTGTGGGATTTGTTTTCTAGAGTTTTATAGCTTTACGAACTGGGCTTTTATTTGTTATTCAAACTGATATTGAGATTTTCTTCGCTACGCACCAATAAGCTCTTTTAGCGGCGATTATTAGAAATTATCATCAGCTCTTTTGGAACTTTTAATTATGTATTGAAAATAATCTGCCAAATTCCTTGGATTTTGAAAATTTCGCATTTCTTTTCACCAAAAGGGGAAACTGTTTATTCGTACATAAAAAAATCATGTTACTATGAGCCTCCCAAAACACCTTAACGGAATCTTAGAACAAAGCAGAATTAGCATATGACTTGTTCCCTACCTCGAGATTAAATGCCGCTTGGTAAGTAAACCATCTTCAGCCATTTCATAGAAGCCCATCAGCAAGGCATCAATCAAATCACGAGTATAGCCCTTCTGAAAGGTCAAGATATGTTCTTCAAACTTCCTTTCAAAAATTTCATCTCGGATTTCTCCAGCGCGCTTTGCTTTCCTTACGATGTCAAAAGGAATATACTTCAACATTGGGAAAGTGTTGATCATGTTAACTGCACCGAGTGAATCTCGAAAAACACGAACGGCCTCTACGAGCATTTCTACCTCACGATCATCCAGTTTGAGTTCTTTGCCAAAAATTAGAGAGGAGAGGCAATTAGCCAAAGAGTTGATGACTATATCGTGGGGACAGAATGGATTACCATTAAAAGAGTTGAATCTGCTGCATAACTTTTCTACATGGTCAGCCAAGTTTGCTTTATCCTCGGTCAGACGCAGAGCTGTTATCGCAAGTTTATGCTGTATTTTCCATCTGCTACTTAAAGATTGAAATGCGATATCGGTACAATTTCGGCCAAAAATATCGCCGAAGAAATGTTGTGGTCGACCAGCGAAATCTGCCGCTTTTGTGACGAGAGCTTCTCTCGCGATTTCGTAACTATTTATAACAATCACCTGTTGTCTGCCCATGAGGATTCGGAATAACTTGCCGTACTTTTTGGCCATGTCAGCAAAGGCGGTGTATGGTCTCTTAAGATCAATTGAGAGAACATTTCCAACCAAGGGCAAAGGAAATGGACCCGGCGGAAGGTGGCGGCGTTGCCATATTGTGGGCACGACATAGACTACCACAAGTAGAATGAAAATGCCAATGACTGTAGGTATCATGACTTCACCTATTGGAGTAGGATAACGATTTATACTCTTCAATAGAAACTTGGTGTACTCCACAACGTGAGATATGTACGTCTGATTTAACTTCTGCTCACTTATCCTCGACCTTTGCGCTCATGGAGTGCCCTTTTTCTCCACAATTTATGCCAAATACTGGATTACGATGATAATAAGATACTTGTATTTCCTGTAGCAAGCAGCTTGAGGGCTTTTTTTGTAAATTTAAAAAAAATTAGCATCAACCACAGGAGTCTCCGATGCTGCAGGTAAAGAGGTTCATTGGAAGCTAGAAGCTGCGGTTGCCTAAGATTAAAATTGCCTAAGCGACCTCGTCTAAGGTTCTACTTGACCGATCAGACAGAAAAAAATTGCATCAATCGCTGGAATCTCATTATCCCCAATTTAAGCCAAATACTGAATTACGATGGTTTTAAGATATTTGTGTTTGTCTAACATGCAGTCTGAGGGCTTTTTTTGTAAATTTAAAAAAATTAGCATCAACCACTGGAGTCTCCGATGCTGCACGTGAAGAGGTTCATTGGAAGCTAGAAGCTGCGGTTCCTTTACCTTGTGTTTAGTAGTGTAACTTACGAAGACCTTTCCGAGACGGCAATTAAAAAATTGCCTAAGTGACCTCGTCTAAGGCTCAACATGACTGGTCTGACAGGAACCATAACTTTTTCACGAAGCCTTATTGTGTCAGGCCCAGTCCATCAAAACCCCCTACCTTTTCCAATAGTCAGTTTTCTCCACTATAAGAGGTATCAGTAGATCTGAAAATTATAAAAATCATACATTTCAAAAACTTTGAACCTGGATGAACCTTACCTGAGCAGTTGTGTAAATAACTGAGGCGAAAAAAAAAAAAAAAAAAAAGAAAAAAAGAAAAAAAAAACATGCAGGCCCGTACAGGCCTACATGTTTTTTCAGGCCTTATTTTCACTACTGCTTGAGCAGTGTTTATTACTGCGAAGATCGCTTTCATATTCACGTCCACGGATAGTAACTCGCACCCGAAAATTTTTGCAATCGATGCAGGAATAAATGAGTTGAAATCTTTTATTTGAGCTATATAATCTCGCTGTGGTAGTTTATACAGAAACGACTATTTACGACTATTTACGACTATTTATTTTCAGTGGTTAGAAGTGGAAATATCCATCGCAGATCACGAACCTCTCATTCGGTGTTTAGTTGTTAAATATAATCAGCTAATTTGAGGAAAATACGCTCTGTTATTTAATATGATGGACTGAGACAAATAAATAAAGGCAGTAAGTTTCTAAGGAAACTTTGTTGCTGCGTCGGTAGGAGAGTATCAAAAGAGCAATATAGTATTACGAACTGAGTTGATAACCCAAATTGGCCACCGTAAAGAGTTTAAAAGCTGACGTTTCGGGCATCAGCCTTTCGTCGAAGCGATTGATAGAAAGACTGTTGGAGAGACGTGATGTTGTGATAGACAGTCAAGTTTAAAGCTCTGACCTCGTTTGTGTGGCTAATGCACGGATATCCTGAAAGATGTCGTAAGAATCTCTCTGGAATTTTTTTTTTAATTCTGCATATCACAACATTTTCGGAATTTATCTAAAAAGAAAAAAAACTCCCCAAAAATTGTATTGAACTCACTTAATTTATTGAATGGTGCTGATATCATATGGTAGAAATATAAAAATAACAAAGCGACCGCTTTTTCTTTAGCCACAAATCCGAAATAACAACTTTCCGTCACGAAGCTTAATATGAACAAACAAAATTAATCGTCTTTGAAATAATCAGTTTACGAACGTTGACTGTAGACCCGTGTGAACTGCTGAATAAGCCAGTTTCGAGTTCCCCATTATTAAAAGGGGGAGAACATTACAAGCGCTTTTTAGCAGAATTAGTCTTAAATTAAGTCATTGTATTCACAATTATTAAACCAAGACAGTGACCTATTTTCAATTCTATCTATTTTTAATCTTTATATTTCAATAATCTTTCTGCCAATCTTTGTTGGCCGAGATTAACCTTGTATCAATGTTTCGTTTAAGGATTATTGAAAACCGGATTGTGATGTTCCTGATTTAAAACTTTAAATGGGGATGAAAAATTTGATAGAAAATTAGGAAGAGGGCATCGAGAAGAGGACAATCGGAGGAGAGAAAATGTAGCCTTAAGATTGAGAATGAACTATTGAGCTCAGTGGAACAAGACAGTAAATAAAAGGCAGTCTATTTCTGCATGTGCCTACTGTTGTATAAAAAGAGACGTGGTTTAAAATGCAGAGAGGTTAATGAACAGCTCTTGTCGATGCAAACTTGTGACGAAAAGAGGATACGGTTAGAACATATAGTTTGTACACTGGTTAATTAACAGGCCGGGGACAGAGCAAGAAATCATTAGAGTACGACATACTTGAATTAAATATACATTAAATGCCTTTTATTTAGTACGCTCTGTGTACCTAGCGCTCTGGATGTACCTACTCCTGTGGGTCTGAAGGTATAAGGTTCGAGCCCTGGCTACGTCGACATTTTTAAAATTTCTTTTCTTTATTTTCTTTTCCCTTTTTTTGTGTTTAATTAAAAGTATTCTTGAAAGGAAATCCACACCCAGATACGTAATTCCGTGTGGGATTGATTCAAGACTCACTCACGTTCTACAACAATTCGTGGGCACTAATTTCCTATTAAACATGGCTTTACTTGACAATCATGCTGCTAAGTTCCCACGCGCTTAAACGCCCTGCAAATACCTTATTTCATTACCCTATGCCGCTCCCAATTACATGCTACTTTTAATTGTAACATTAACTCTGTACTTTAACGGTAACGAAATTACAACTCACTTAATACACAATTAAATTCACAATAAACCTAGGAAATAAATTTTTTGTTTGGAAACATTTCACAACGGTCTAGATATATGAAACAAAAAAAAAAAATCAGTCGTCTCAAATGTTTTAGCGACATGAAGCATACAGTTAGAAACGGCCGCTACCGAGAAAAACTCATCCTACGAAAGTAGTTAATTCTTGTTCGAGAATTAACCATTTCCTTTTTTCTCGTCACTTTTCATCGCCTTTACAAGTTTGTCTCAACCATTAACATTAGATCGAGGTTAGCATATATGCGGACGTCTAAGAAAACAAACTTCTTCTTCAAACAGAATGACTGTGCATTGATCATTTCCTATCACAAAGTAAGGAGCTAAGAGCCTTCTATTCCCCTTGATTTGCTCTTGAAAAAACCCTGTCTTCATTATACGCTAAGTGCACTGATTTGATTTTTTTAAAAAACTCTTTAAAAAGAGATAGCGCCCACTTCAATTTTTCACTGCTTGTGTGCGTGTTTGAATAACAGTCGACTCTCGAATGTGGACATATCCATCCCCTCTTAGCGCGAAATTTCACATGTTTAAGCTTTCGCCATAGCGGACACTAAAGTACTTCGTCCAAAATCTAGACACACATATTATAAAGCGACATTACGATAAATGAAAGTAGAGAAACCATTCTTCAATTTGGGTGCGAACATAAGAACTTCCTACTTGCGGCCGGACCTTTTCCTGTTCGTGAGGCCACGTCACGTACATATTATTTTATAAGATTTTTTTTTCTCTCGTACCCGTATTGTGGACACTAAATCTCCCCCCAATAACAGAAGTAAACTGTAAATAAAATTTGGGCCATATTATGCGCAGAAATATCTTTCCATTACGTTTATTTTGACTATGAAATGCAAACAGTAACGCTATCAGGTCTTTGAGTTTAGGAGAGTGGTGAATGTGAATCACTCGAGTTATTAGGAAAAGTTATATGCATCTTTATCAAGAAAAACAGTGCGAGATCTTTTTCTTAGGTATTTTTGCTGACGTTCTGAAAATGTAAGCCAGTTTGCAAGTAAAAAAAGAAAAATTCCACGCGGATATAAATGAACTGTTTTCACTTGAAGGTGAAGAAACAAACTGGAAAATTTATTTATTTAGCTCTCGTCTGTCATCAAAATCACTGGTGACCGCAGCGGACAGGGATTTACAATATTGTACTTGCAAGTTAACAATTAACATTGCGAATCACTAGCTAGAGCCAATCGCTTAATCCAGAAACTGAAAATTTGCTGCAAGCCTCGGTTTTAATGTTTTTATCTCACGTGAGTTTTATTACAAGGCAATGGACTTGAAAGTTATTCTCATGGTTTTGCTGGGCTACTCTGCAGGGTATTTCTCGTCACCTGGTAGGTAATATACAATTGCGTATTGTAATTGGGCAACACAAGGGGTCAAACGTTCACTGTTTAGCTTAATAGTTTTACAGAGAGCTTCGCAGCGATTCAGCAAAATGCGAACTGAAATTTATTCAATTGAATCGATAAACTGTCATAAGATTGACATAAAGATGCATCTTCTTAAATTCGACGGAGATAAATGGAGATGATACTCTTGTCCTTCTCGATGATCTATGCTCGTGTCATTTTTTAGGGTCAGCATTCCAAATTCCTATCATGAACTAACCTCGTGCTAGTTTTTAAAATCATTCTAGTTTCTAAAGATTGACATCATTATATAAATATCAACATTTTTAACTGATTCGATTTATCATTTGCCGGAGTCTGTTCAGGACTCAAGAGGCTGTGAAATTTATAAACAATCTAATGTCCGTCAACCCACAGAGTGTGGAGAATATTTTCAGGAATAGACGTCTTGTTATAACATGGATAGCTTACCAGAACTAACGTTTCAATACAAATTGTTGCAGTTTTCAATCACCTCTGATACTATATATCAAGGGATTTATGAAACGAGATGAATAATTTTTTTCCAGAGCGATACCGGACGCTTTTGTTATTTCCATCGTGGCGCGTCTAAACATGTATTTTATAAGCAAACAACTGGTTATCTTCATTTTGTTACAGTCAAAATCATGGCGCAAATCCCCTTTCGTATGGAGAACCTTTACAAATTAAATCAAATAGATTTCTGTTTTATCATTTCAACATCTAAGAGAAGTAAACGTCCCAAAGTTCGTACCAGTATAACATAGTCTCAATGTAACACAACAATAAAGTGCTCTTACTAGATCCATTACATAACAACAATCAGCCCAAAGAAAAAAATTCAGTAATTAATTTGAAGGTAAACAAAAGATCACGTAACACGATTGAAGGCGTATGAAAAATCAAGTAAAATAGTTACGGAACTGTAAACAAAGTTAGAAATCAGTTCTGGAGTAATGTAGCTGCCAATTAATAAGAATCTTCGCTAGGAGTTCATTTCTTAATTCATAAAATCGTTTTTTTTTCCCTCTAATCCTGAAATCGTAATGATTTTCTTGGGAGTTCATTTCTTAGCTTAGTCAATCGTCTTTCTCTGTTTTTTTTTTTCTTTTTTTTCAAATACTCGTAGGCACAGCAATGAAATAAGAGCGCGGTGCCCTTATTTCTTAGCCTTGCAAAAAAAGCACCTTCGTCTTAAAGGCGATTACAAACTACAAGGGCGTGGTTAAGGGGTGGTCATGAAGTGCCGTTATCCCCTTACCTTTGCGAGATTATCGTTATGTTTTTTTTCCAAGTCAGTGACTGACAACTTTCTTTCCGCGTGAACTCAGGCCCGCTAATACACAAAGAAGTCCAGCGGTGTAAACAACAGCCTGGATATGATAGCATAGCTCGACAGAAATAAGTTTAAATTGGAAGAACAATCTACAAGCGAGGATAATCAACGATGGAGAGGATTAAAATAGATTTCTAATAGAAATTTAACAAGTTTAATCTAAATTTTACAATATGGGAAAGTGATCACATTGGCTCTCAATCAGTTTTAAGAGTAATCATTATCAGTAAGATGTTTTTCAGCACGGCTCAGCTTAGATACGCAATCAATATATTACAATCAAAAATTAAATGTAAACTTGAGGATCGACAATGGTATACTTATATTCTTTGTGTTTCATGGTAAGCTGTGGCAAACAATTGTTCCGCTATTTCAACGAATTTGACGTTGGTGTTCTGTGGCCATCACAACACGTCACAAGATGAGTGCCTGGGTCGGGGATGCTGTTGGAATTCTTCTTCTAATGCAAATGCAGTTAGGTGCTTTGGGATCGCGAATAATCAGTCTAGAGCCAATTCAACACACACAACCAGTGTTCCTATGACAACGTCCTACGTTTCAAGCACCAAAGCTCCTCTCTCCACCCCAGCTGGGTATGTTTCTTAGTGACTGGCTGTTGATGTACTTGACAATAGTATTCATCTTGTTTTTAACTGGTTATGTGAAAGAGACGATGTAGATTAGGTAAACAGGTGTAGTCTTCTCTTGCGCCAAGTGGCCCATTGCTTGTGAGCTTCTCTAGCTTAAGATCTGGTTATTCCGCCCAAAAGTAAAAACTTCCAAAGGAAGAAAAACGAAACTTTTAGCAATTCAAAAAATGTTGACTCATTTAGGCTATTAAAGGCATTTAGGGATATACTGAGTTGCGTTATATACCATGCTTTGGTGGCAAATAGGCGGGGGGGGGAAGGAGGATAAGAAAACAGGTTCTCTAGGAACCTCCTTTTTCAGCTACGCCTTACCTTCTCCTGTTAAGCATTTTTCCTTATGGGACACATGTTAACTCTAATTTAGACATCTTATTAATAACTTTTAGTCCCAAGAGCACGTGCCAGGTATATCATGGCCAGGTTTGTGACCAATGGCTGAACTACACTATGCTGGAGTACCGCTGGTCCCCGAGATTTATTGACAGCAGATTCGGACTGAATGGAACCGAGCGTGTGATATTGGAGTTTATGTATGCCATTAATAGGATCGACGGCCAAGAAAAATGTAAGGACATATTAAAAGCTCTCCTCTGTTTATACGTTCTGCCACCGTGTAACGAGAACAATGAACGGTATCACTACTGTAGAGAAGACTGTGAAGTTGTTTTCCAAGAGTGTTATTCTGCCATGAGAGAAATGCTTGGAGCTGCAAAATACATTTTGGAAAAACTTGGTATTGAGTTCGCACACGTTGGAGTTCCTGACTGCGCCAAGCTGAACTATTCTGATAGCTATAAGGCAACTAATACCACCTGCTTACACTGGGGTCTGTTCGGTAAGTATGAAATAGTTCACTTTCGCTTGCGAAAGCTTTAGAACAAAAGGTCTGTAAGGTCCGAAGTCTTGATGCTTGGTCAAAGTAGAAAGTCGTGGTCGCTGATTTTGCCTCACATCCGGCACTTGGGTGGGGCGTTTGAATACAATTTTTGTCCCAGGGGGCGAGATTTGAACCGATAATCTTTAAAAGTTCACATGTATGGGGATTGCCTGAGGAGGGAATGTTTAAGCTTCGAATGGATCGAAATCATCCTTTTTAATCGTTCTCGTCTTTAATTTTGTCAGTTTTATTTTCCGTTGACATGTAAAGTTCTCTATGCCTGTATGCAGTTTTTTTTAAAATTTTCCCATCCCAGCTAGCGAGTCAATGCCTATTATTGCTCTTGAACTGAACAACATTATTATTTAAAAAAAATTAGTAAAAGTGTAACCTCATGCTTTATACAGTATATGTTTCTTACCGTAGATTTCTCTACTGCTGAAACAGTAACAAACGTGCCACCCAGGTCACACACGGCCGCTTTAGCTGGAGCGGTTGGTGGGGTCACAGCACTTGTTGTTTTTGCAGTAATAATCGCTTGTATCTATAAACGGCGAAAGAAAAAAACGATGCAAGGATTCGCGGGCGTCACTTTCACAGCCTTGTCAATGAGAGACAGAATTAGAGCCGAGGCTATGCGCGCCCTCGACGAGAGCAAGGTCATGAGTCTGTTTAATCCTGATGATATCAAACAGCTGCCGCTGACCAGTATAGAATATGTCAGGGATCTTGGATCCGGGAACTTTGGTTTGGTATTTTTAGGTACGTAATTAATATTTGCGAAGAAGGATAGTATTTAAATATGGTCTAATTCTCAGCAATGGGCAACGGATTTCTAAAGGCAATCAGCTCGTACAACGTACTTTGACCATATAGGGTAAAAGACTGCGCAAGTTGTGACGGGGAAAGTTGTTTTTTGGCGGGATACGAGAGGTTCCCCCCCCCCCATCCAAAGACAACAAGCAAACAAAACTCAAAATTAAATATATGGAAATAAAAGCACGAAGAGCTACGCAGCTATGAAGTTACGCTTGGAAAGTTAACAAACGTAGCAGCTAGTTGATCATTTTTTAGCATCAGTCCTTCGCTATTACGAATCCTGCTAACACTCTTTAAGCGTCAGTTTTACGAAATTCGCTTTGATGTATTATCGATCTTGAACATCATTTTAGTTGATGAAAAACCAAATTGTTTACTTGTCAACCCATGAGGCTCAGCAATTACTTTTAGAAACTTACCACATTTCTCTTTCAAAAAAATTTATCAAATGACAATATCAACAAAAGTCGATGAATATCATGAAATAATTCATAGTGATAACTTCAATTCGTCGACCTTTTCAGCCGGACTACTTAAACCCTTACATCCTAAGACCAGTATACGTATTTTCCATTCTGCTCTCTATACATTTCTTAAGATGCTGATGAGGAGTGTTCAACAATTAAGATTTCTTTAATTGGTGATTATTTCCTTCATTCTCATGACCTTAACGTCTGATACAAAGGTGATATTATAAGGAGAAATTACATACTGGTCACTCTTAGGGGTTCAAGGGTTAATTGTGCTGGTGCTTCTCTACTTTAGGAAGAGCATATGGTTTAATTGAAGGAAAACCCGAAGCAGAATTGATGGTCGCTGTCAAAACATTAAAAGAAGGATGCTCGACGGAAACTAAAGAAGATTTTTTCAAGGAAGTTGCATTGATGTCCCTTCTGCATCATACAAACATTGTTGAATTGTTAGCCGTGTCTACTGAGGAAGAACCGTATGGAATGATCTTTGAGTTTATGGAGTTAGGAGATCTTAATCAGTATCTAAGAAAAGCTGGACCATTCTTTGAAGGCGATGAGAAGGAAAGAGGTAAGATTGCTTTTAATAACTTAAATGTGTTAGCTTTAGCTTCTCTACAAGCATTTGTGGTTCAACAGTTTATTAAAATGTTGCTACCCTCTTTCCTTGATCAAAGAGACTACGAGCAATCCTTCCATTTTGGCGTAGACTGTCGCGCGAGTAAAAATAAGTAAATGAAAAAAAAAATGATGTTGTCGCGCCGCGCGGAACTTTGAGAGTTAAGCGCACGAGAAGTGGTCCGTGGATATTGAGAAGAAACAAGGAAATAGGGAGACCTTTGAAAATTTTACATGATTCCGAGCTTTACTATCACTGTCATATTTCAATTTTTGAGAGAGTACTCATCATTCCTTCAGTGTTTCTTTGTGGGGGAACGTTGTCAGGAGTACTTCGTGGTAAAAATGTGGATCCTAATTCATTTAACTTCCCTATTATTGCAGTAAACCTTACTCAAGATGACCTAATGTCAATGTCATTACAATGTGCCGCTGGTATGGAGCACCTGCAGACTCTGAGATTTGTTCACAGAGACGTTGCTACTAGGAATTGCCTTGTGGGTACTGGTCTTATTGTAAAGATCTCTGATTTTGGAATGTCCCGGGATATCTACGCTTCTGACTACTACAAGGTAGGCTACAGTATCGTTCTTCTTTTCCTTCTTTAGCATTTTATTATCTAACTTTTGGAAAGTGTTGAATGAGTTGTACGGAATCAATGTTTCAGCACAGAAACAGTTTGCAAAACACAAGTTTTAAAATGAAGGACTTTGGCAATAGCAGCAGCCAAGTATTTCCTTTCGCGACCCCGAACGTCACACTTAATTTACTGTCGCCTGCAAACCTCTCTCTCTCGGGTCTCACTCCTTGATCTCTTCCTTGTGGGCCCTCTCGCT